TAAACAAACTAATAATATGCAGCATTTCAGCTGCAAAATGACAAACAATCCTACCGTTTTCTTTGATGATTAACATTAAATTGTGTGATATTCCTGACAGGTTGTCAGGAAGTCTGAGGATATAGTGCACAACATTACCTGGAATTCCTGGTTAGGAATAAGATCTCCATAACCAGAATCCGAAAGGTGGGGGTTCAGCTCATTATCCAGTAAAATGTTTGATGACTTGAAATTCTTGTGGATCACAGATGGCGAACATGTTTCATGTAGGTATCTGCAGAATTCCCATGATTGTCATTGACATGAATTTTTAATTCCAGATTAACACGAAGGGTTGACAGGCATGTTCCACTTACTCTAATGCCCTTGCAGATCCAAGAGCAATCTTTACACGGCTATTCCAGGACAGCGGTTTGCTTTGATCATCCACCAGGTTAAGTAAGTCACACAGAGAACCATTTTGATAGAATTCATATGCCAACAAGCACTGCCCATGCTCTGAACAGTAGCCAACTAACTCAGCAAGGTTTGGATGATTTAGCCTTGAAATATTTGCAACCAACTCAATGAACAAATCAGAAGGATAGCCTGGGAATGAAGAAAAGTTGATTTTCTTTACAGCCAGGACCTGAAAATAAATGAAAATGATGACAAAACAATAGTAGCAAGGGGGAATACTGAATCTCATAATATCTTTAAGAAATTCAACATCAATTCTATGGTCAATGAAATGAGATTGTTGAACCCAATTAGTACCATAAAATCAGACAACAACATTTTTCAATGATACACGCATAGATTGGGTATTCCCATGCATACAACAAACTTCGGTGCTATTACATGGACAGGTTTTGAAGCAGGTATAATTTGATGAAAAAAAGTTTATGACAGATAAATTCCCCGTACTGTAGATGTTTAGTAGGAAAAGATATGAATGATATGTATGATGGTATGAATGATATGTTTAATCCGGGAAATAATAGATATCAAGTAATTAGGGAAGCACCTTCTGATCGTTGAATTGTGCTCTGAAAACACGTCCAAATGATCCCTCACTGATGAAATGGTCAGCACTGAAGCTTCCTGTTGCTATCTGTAGGTCTGCAACTGTGTATGCAGGTATTTTGATGGAAGACAAACTTATCTTCCTTGTAACAGACTTGGTTGTGAGATCATTTTCATCGAAGGACTTGTGCAAGTCAATTTTTGTCGGAGGTTTTAAGCTCATTGAAACAGTCTTGTGAAATTGATCCTTGCCAGTTGTTGAGATGATCTTGATGGACTTCATCTCTGAAAAATATAGTTTTGACTTTAAGAGGGAGGAGCAGCAGGTACAGTTTACCGATCCTTACAAAATGGAAATTATGTGCAAAGAAGTAAGGAAATGCAAAATTCACTGGAAAAGGAAGATTGAATAATTTATTCCTGGGCTAGAGAACTGTAGTAAGATGACCATGTGGAACTCAGAGGCAATGACACTTACGTTTAAATCCTGAAGCAATGGGACTGAGAGGTTCCTTCTGTTCGGGGTCTCGTCCTCGTGACAACTTCCAAGATTTCCTCTTGATCACAAAGAATGCAAACATTGCACCAAGAACCAGCAAACATATAACAATTCCTGCTATTGCACCACCTTGTAGTTTGGAGTGTTTGCTGCCACTGTCGGATGGGCCATTGTTGTCATTACTACTTGGAAGAGCAGGACGTTGAGGCGTTGGCGTTGGCGTTGGATTTGTAGCTGGTGGGGGTGGTGGCGCGGGACCATTGCTAAATGAGTTTCCAGTTGTCCTACGAAAGGAGTGGAGGATTAACTGTGATTCCATTCTACATGCTTATATCAGCCAAACCATGACAGTAGTAGTAAAAATGCTTACTGTAGACTCCTTATTTTCTTTAGCTTATCAGGGACCCAGCCGGTGAATTGGTTGTTCGCGACATTTCTGCAAGAATGATCAAATGTTGCATTTATAAGACGATTCAACCGTGAATTAGAAAAGGTTGTGGGTATATCAACTCACAAGTCAGCGAGAGGAAGATTGGCAAGGACATCTATCGTACCACTGAATTGGTTGTTCTGCAGATAACTGGCAAGAGGAGATATTACATTTGTAACCAATATATGGGCTTTATTTATTCTTGTTTATGAAACAAATTGATGCAGAAACATACGAAAACAATGTACTCACAGTGTTTTCAAACTTGTTATAGAGTTGAAGCTTTGTGGAATATTACCAGAAAATGTGTTGAATGAGATATCCCTGAGTGAAATGAATTAATGGTTCAGTTTTTCCACTAGCTTGACAGATCACTGTTCAAACAGGAAATCACTCACATTGTTGTTAGGTTGGTGAGCTGGTTAAACATATCACTGATGGTTGAGAGCTGGTTATGAGCAAGATTTCTGCAACGAAGACATCAAAATAATTTGGTCAGATCATACCAGAAAAAAAATGGCAAAGAAAGTCAGCCGATACATCGACTTATAGGAGATAAGTAACTTACAAATCCTTAAGTGCGACCATTTGGGAAATAGAGTATGGTGTGGTTCCAGTGAAGTGATTTCCAGCAAGATTTCTGCAGATCAAGTTCTCCGTTAGAACTAAAAGATTGTTCTGCATATAGATAAGAGCAGCTTGAGTTGCACACAGAAGTACTACTTACATTTTCTCGAGATTTGGAGGAAGATTATAGGGAATGTCACTGCCTCCAAGATTATTATTGCTCATATCACTGCACAGAACTAAACTAGATCAAAACTTGTTTGTGGTGAAAGGGGATTGATGTTTGGGATGAGAGAGAGATCACTAACAGCTGCACTAGTGCAGTCAGTAGGTTCATATTGTATCCCAAAGTCCCGTTAAGACTCATGCCCGGTAAGTTTCTGTCAGGTATTAGGATAAATAAATATAAGATAAGAAGGATAAGCAGTTGTGACTTGCAAAACACCATATCTGAATCTCAGCTCACATTGCTGTCACTCTGGAACCCGAGCAAGTGATCCCCTGCCACGACTGCCCGCAGGGATCTCCATTTTGTGACACCCAGTTTTTCAGCTGGGGTGGGTGGTTCATTGTTGTATAGAAGACATTGAGGGCTGTCACTGCGTAGGCAAATGCAAATTTGGGGAGAATCAGTAATGCTGGTGGATCGATATTTCAAGTAAATGACTATAACTATGTTTTGTTCTTACTTTTGTCATCCCAACGAAAGTATTTTTCAACACAAAAAAAAAAAGGAAATTGTTTTTCACTCCCTCCGTAGTTTGAAAAACGATCTAATATTGTGGGACGGAGGGAGTAGTTCATATGTAGCAGTATTTCCTTCTGCAGAGAGAACCAATACTTAACTCATCTTTTTTTTTGATAAAAGAGAGCGCTCTCTCCGATTTCCATTAACAGAAATCACCAAGTCTTGTTACAGAATACTTAACTCATCTTATGGGATAGGAAATGTGGTTACTCATTCCATCACTAATGTTGTAACAGTGTGAAGGATAGTGATGTTATGTATGATTCAGTTCATTCCTGCGTGTTGGAATTGGTCGTTAAAGATTTTGTAAGCAATGATTAATTTTATATTGTATGATTTCAAAATAATACTTAACTTGTCATACTTCCAAATTGGAAAATAATAGACTTAACTTGTCTGTACCATCAACAATTTTGAAGTTGACTTCGCAAATAACTAGTCATGTTTAACAAGGTACCCCCATTATTCTGTAACCAAATGTTCATCAAGACTAGTTTGATTCTGGAACCGAATGAAATATTAATTGAAGCGAGAACTAGTTTTCTTGGCAATCAGTCACACAAACTTTTTTTTTCTTTTGGACGAGCGGCTGTCTGCAACCTCGCACAAAACCAGGCATAAAAGAACAAATGAACTGAATTGTTCAGAAACTCTCTGCTAAAATCTGACATCTGGGTGCATAAACCAAGCAGTGTCCATCAAATGGCTCATGAGCACATCAAGAACAGCGAAGAGAAAGGGGCAAAATGAACTTGCCACAAATACAGCGTCACCACTGGAAAATGGAAAATATTATAATCTTAGGAAAATTAGAGCTTCTGAAAACTCTGCTATTTGATCATCCCAAGCTGGAAGAACCCGAAAATTCCCACCAGAAAAGGACCAAGGAGCAGCAGCAGGAAGAAACGAAGAGCTAAAGAAACATCTTTCCTGGCTTGGTTAACTGACACACCAACCAAGGAAAATGTTTATGCGATGCCAATGAACAAAGCAGAGCTCCAAATTGACCAAAAGTGTAAAGCAAAGAAGAGTCGAATGAGACCGTTGGGTCCATGAATCTTCCAGCTTTCCCTCCTGGGCTGAAACGCAACTTCTCAGAGCCAGCAATGGTTTCCTGCTCTCATCTAGACCTAAAATTTCAGGAATCCAGGAATGGGCACCGAAAGCGGCCTATCTGCACTGAAGTGAACCGACCAAAGCAGGGGGGAAGGAGCAAGCAAGAACACAGATTTTCCCCATCCGTTGCTACTCAGTCAAGCTAAGAAATGCATTGGTTCTTGATTTTCCGAGGTAAAATCAAAACAGAAAATAAAAAATGGTTACAAGAAGTAATAATACGACTCGCTTACCATCGTTTGAGTCGGTGTTGGCATGAACCCCCAGGGAGGCGGCGGCCAAGAACAGCAGCGCCGCTCCAATGGCCGCAGCTCCTCCTCTCCTCCCCATCGTCTTGGTCGTGGTCGTGGTCATGGCTGCCGCGTTGGTCACTGCAGCACCAGCTCGTCTGCAGGCAGGCAGGCTCTGGGAACACAGCAGCACCGCTGCAACGCCCAATAACTTATGCTCCGGAAAAGGCCTCTTTTGCGCCCCCTGCTTTTGTTTACTTGGCAGGAGTATTACTTTCTCTCACTGCTGACATGTCCTTTTTTTTCCCAGTGGAATGTGTATTTGTCAGCAAGCTAGAATTAGGGAGGAGGGGGAAGGGCTACAAGAAGGGCACTTCGCACGCTCAGAAACCCCTCGGAGAAAGGCAAAAACTAATTGTCCCTTCACGAGCAGTGCCACTTTTTGCAGCGTCATTTTGCCCAGGCTGGTTGCATGGGCTTGATATTTTGATAAGAAGACTGAACGAAAATATCATTTTGTCAAAGAAAAAGATGTTTGGAATGTCTTTCTATAGCTTTTGCCTTTTTTTCGATCGAGAATATGCAAAGCTTGCGTATCATTTTCATTGATAAAGAGCTCTGGCCTCGGAGTGAAATGGGGATTTATTCCGCGCGCGCGCGCGCGCACACACACACACACACACACACACACACACACATATATATATATATATATATATATATATATATATATATATATATATAGTTTTGAACAAGTGAATGACTACCCCGAAAAAAAAGGTGAAATACTGAAAACAAGAAGGAACGCTTGTATTCGCATACCAAAAGCTCGCCAATATTACAAAAAGAAGATTTGGGGAATATGGCCACTTGAGCTGATGCGTGCCCTTGTAGGGAAAAGGTGTATGTATGCGCAATGACACGTTGAAGAGGTGAGTGGAAGATGTTGCGGTCACTTCTTTTGTGGTGTTGCGCGTCGTGGCTCCCATGCCATGCGGCCGGAAACATTGCCGTCCGTGCGGTCGCTTTTCCTGATTGGCAATCAGTCATACTGACACAGGTGCCCGCATGCGTGCGCGGTGTGTATGCTCTTCTGTCTTGAGCACTCCCTTCATTTTTTGACCAGTTCCAGCATGGCCACAGCAACTCCCAGTTCCTTGCTGTTCTCCTTGGAAAGAGGTCCAGAGGGATCCAAAGATGCTTCAGGAAATGCCTCATCATCTTGGCAGGCTATTTCTTATGGGCTGGAGCTTTTGAAAAAAGGTTTGGTTTGGAGAGTTGGGAATGGCAGGAGCATCCGAGTCTGGCGTGATAATTGGATACCCCGTCCTTTCTCATTCAAACCTATCACGCTTCAGGGCAGATGCCGTATACGTTTTGTGTCTGAATTGTTGAATGCTAATGGTTCTTGGAATATAGGATTGCTACAGGAGTATTTTTTGCCGCCTGATGTGTTGGAAATTATTAAAATTCGAGCTTCGCCCCGGTTGGAAGATGATACACTTGCTTGGGGTCCAGGCAAATATGGTATTTTTACTGTGAAGAGTGCATATCAATTTGCCTTCGATGAAGCTCACAGAATGAATGCAGCGGGATCTAGTTCCAGTCCGGATGGTCGCCGTTCTTGTTGAAACCTTATTTGGTCTTGCGATGTTCCTCCTACAGTTCGAAACTTTGCTTGGAAAGTCGCTACTAATGCTTTGCCGACATGGCAGAAGAAGCACAGTAGGAGTCTGGAGGTTAATGACCTTTGTCCAATTTGTGCTGTTGAGCCGGAAGATAACTTCCATCCCTTCTGTCGCTGCACTTTTGCTAGAGAATTATGGTCAACAATGTCGGAGGTTTGGTCCTTACCTGACTTGGCTGCTATTAGAAATACAGGTAAGGAATGGCTGCTTCATGTCCTTAACCCATTGCCAGAAATCGAGAGGTGCATGCTTCTTATGACTTTGTGGAGAATTTGGCACATCCGTAACGAAGTGATACACCATAAACCTGCGCCCCCAATGGAAGCGTCCAGGAGGTATTTGGTGAGTTACCTTGATTCCTTGGTTGGACTTAAAATTGATCTATCTTCTGATCCGAGCAAAGGGAAGTCCTTAGTTACATACGACAGGCCACTTAAAAATCCACATGTTCGAATAGTTGAGAGCACTCTTGTCAAATGGTGTCCCCCTATGGCGGGTTGGGTGAAACTGAATACTGATGGGTCCTTTGCAGAAAACGGTACGGCTGGTGCGGGGATGGTGCTGCGAGATGACAAAGGTAATGTCATCTACTCAGCTTGCAGGGAGCTTTTTTCATGCCGAGAAATTCTTGAGGCTGAGTTGTGTGCTTGCATGGAAGGCCTGTCTTTTGCAATTCAGAGAAGCGACTTGCCGATCATTATTGAGATGGACTCCATTATTGCAGTCAAGCTGATTCAAGCGATGGATATTGATAGATCGATCTACTCTTCTTTAGTTAAAGAAATTAGACACCTGATGTCTCTTCGTGATTCTTGTATTACTCATATAAATCGTATGCAAAATAAGGTTAGCGATAGCTTAGCAAAGTTTGCTAGACAAGAGGGCAGAACAATGACCTGGGTTGGGTCAGGCCCATCAGTTTCTTTAGAGCTAGCCGAGGCTGATTGTATGGACATTGAGATTTGAGTAATGCAAAGATTTTACCCGCAAAAAAAAGATGCTTCAGGAACAGGCACTAATTTTGATGCAGCCAGCTTATCGAGTTGTTTAGACTAGTCACAATGGAGAGTAAGGGGTGTTTGTTTCAAGGGACTTTTTGGTGTAGGGACTAGAAAAAGTTTCTAGCAAACCAAACAGGGTGGGATTTTTTGGGGACTTTTTGCTAAAAGTCCTTAGAAGCACCTGCTTGAGAGTCTTTTTCAAAAAGTCCCAGGGTCTAGAAAAAGTCCTAGGACTAGAGAAACAAACACCATTTAACATACACTAGTAACATACTCATATTGCATTGGGACATGTGATGTTACAGTAACTAGCTAAGTTACTAGTACTATATCTCTCCTCATTAACTCATTGCCACATAAGCAAATTTGCTGAGTTGGACTCGATATTACTACCGAAGTTACTCCCACTGTGGCTAGTCTTATAACGCATAAACTTCACATGAAATTAAATAATTCGTTCTTCTCTCTTTTTTTTTTGCCGGGGAAGAGTAGAACCATTTGTTTGCTCTGACTTTTCCTTAAAAGTAGGTGCATGTTGTTCTCAGCGTGATTGCACCATGCGTCCATGCCATCATGGAGCATAATTAAGCAGTATCCTCAACATCACTTTTCTTCCTTTTCAACATATTTTTATCCTCGCCTTTTCTGCCCAAGTGTCTAGCGTCTAGTGCTATCCGGTTAGGCGAATAATTTGCCTGCTGACCGCAGCTTCTCCGTGACATCGGGCATCGTAACAGGTGGCCAAACCCGTCCAATTAGCATGTCACGAAGCATTACGCTGCGCCCATAACCTCGTCGTTTTCGTGAGCTGTTTTCGACTTGAGACGGACGGCTTCTCGTCGCATCGCATCGAATCGCATCGATGCCCTCATGGTCCTCTTTCCTGTGCCAACGCGAACGCCACGCCGTTGCCCCGCCGTGAGGGCGAGATGTTGGTATACATTTTTTTAAACAAGGCAAAAGATTCATCATTTTTATTAATTAAGAAGAGGTTTCGTTACAAGCAGACCGCCACGCGATCAAAAAGCAAAACAATTACTTTCACGATATTATATTACGCAAATGTTTGGTGCCAGCAATTATCCAAATGGACACTTCTTCTTTGATGCATCGCATGATAATCGCCAGCGGCGCCGCCTTGTTTCTGAAGACGCGCGCATTCCTTTTCTTCCAAAGTCCCACAAGAAGGAGAAGGGAAGATAAGAGTTTTCGTGGGTTGACCATTGTTAGTGAGTAGCGCATCCCACCCAAATTTGACCGTATTAAACTAGAGCCAAGGAGTCGTGGGGATATTTAGACCAAGCCATGCAAACACCTCATTTCAAACTCTAGTAGAGAACCTGCACTTGAAGAGGAGGTGAGCCACAGATTCTTGCACCTGATTACAGAGTGGACATCGGTCACAATTAGGCAATCCTCGCTGTTGGAGCCTATCGGCAGTCCAAATTATGTTTTGAATGACAAGCCAGGCAAAAAATTTACACTTGGGGGGTGCCCAAGTCTTCCAGACCATGGCATGCAAGCTTGAGCGAGTAAGGCCAGCAAACTGCGCCATATAAGCAGACCTAGCTGAGTACTGGCCATCGTTGGTTAATTTCCAAAGGATGGTATCCTTGACACCAGGCCGAATGATGACATTCAAAAGCTTATCCCACAGTGCCAAGAATTGTTGGAGGTGCTCAAGCGTGAGACCGTTATGGTATTCAATTTGGTTTATTCAGTGCCCATCCCTCAAGTCTGTGGCAATAGATGGCCCCTTCTTGCGTGAAATCTCAAAAATCTTTGAAGCAATGTCTTTTGGGCTAAAACCCTCCAGCAAAGGCGACTCCCAGAAGGAAGCCTTCTGTCCATCACCAATCGTGACCTTACTCGCAGCTGCAAATAGGTTACGGTCATCGGCCGTGCAAGGTGTCCCCATACCGCACCACGCACGTGGTGGGTCGTCCCAGTCAATCCAAAGCCATCACAATCGGAGGGCAGCGGCAAACTTGCCAAGGTGCAAAATGCCTAGGCCTTCAAATTATTTTGGCCTGCAGACGAGCTCCCAGTTTACTTTGCACTTTTCACCAGTTACCTTGTGAGTTCCGGCCTAAAGGTAGGCTCGCCGCAACCTATCGATCGCCTTGAGAACCTCCAGGCGACTGAACAAGCGTGTAACTGTCTCTGCTGGCCGACATACATATATACGATATAGTTTAGCAGCGACGTGGGCGTATTTTACGTTATGCAATTAATCGAACAGAAGACAAGCTCAAATTTCTGAAAGCTACGTCTGCCGCCGAGGGGAAAAAAAGGCGATATAATTTTTCCTTTCACTCCTGGTGGTGGTGGTACACGTGTGGGCATATTGTTTAGTTCTCTTCTTCGTCAGCGAGTTCAAGCTGGTTGCTTACCCGAATGGACAGGGAATCGGCTGTTGACGTCGCCCTCACGATTTGGTAGGCTAACCAACTGCAGCGCCGAAGCAACGAAAATTAACAAGGCCCAGCTCGGGTTGTTTGGTGTACCTCCGGACTGTGATCCTGGATGACTTGTGCATGATCCTAACCACCCTGGCCTGGGCATCGAAACCTAGCTAAGGTTAGGCTTGTGGACAGAGTTATC